AGAGAGAGAGAGAGATGTTACCTACCCAAGAGATTTGAGTAAAAGGGTTTATCTACTTTGTGTTTAGATGCAATTGATTACGGGATCTTGGATGAAACCATTTTAACGCAAGCATGGAGCAAGCTCTTTTACACTCATGTCTTGATGAAGAGTTCCACAATAAATTGTTGGGCTAAGTTTTCGAAGATTGCATCTAATTTCCTCATATAAAAGTCAGTTCTCCCCTCATCTTTCTGCTATATCTTCATGTTACTAACCATGAAAAATTGGATGCTGATTGGTGAGTTTTCACCTCAGCTTTCTAAATAAATAATGATCACACCTCTAATCCATCCATTTGATGTCGCTTGAAAGTTGCTTATACATGTGATTTCTTAAGGTTCTCCAATTCTCTCTTGCAGTTACATATCATGTAATCTTGAAAGTTGCTTATCCATGTGATTTCTTAAGGTTCTCCAATTCTCTCTTGCAGTTACATATCATGTAATCCCGAAAGCTTAGTAGCTAATGCTATTGAGCTTTGTACACCATCCACTGACAAGCTAGACAAAGGGAGAAGCAATAGAGGCCATTGGAGGAGCATGAGCAGTGCAGGCTTGGCTCGTCAGAGGGCCAAATCCATGCCCAACTCCGAACCTTTTCGACCTGTCAAAGCCATGGCTGTAGACCTCTTCCCTCACACCCCACATTGTGAGATGGTGATGCTTCTTGAGAGGTAACCATCTCTCTAAAATTTGGTAGGATCGTTTAAGTACCAAAATGCGTTTATGGTTCATTATATTGTTCATTTTTCCCGTGCAGTGGTGAATTTATTTTACAATCTAATGTGAAAGCACCTCTCTCTCTCTCTCTCTCTCGATTGCAGTGATTAATCTTTTGCTATTTCCAGTCTTTGTATGATTCATATTGGGAAATGCATAATTTCGATTTTCCCAAGCCAAAGAGCCTCATAATTAAAACTGTCGATCAAATGAAACTAAACATATATTTGGATACTATATTGATTTAAACATGGACAAATTATGCTATGATCTGACAGATGGTGAAACTCTCAGTTCGTTGGATTCCTGGGGTCATCTTTGACCAATGAAATGGATGGTGATGGAGAGTGTGGGATCCATTAGAACGGGTCCTGCGATCACAGTTCGTCACTTCATTGGATGGTGATGACTGTAATAGACTATGGTTTCCATAGTCTATTTGATTATAATATACTTTCCATTGAAACTCACCTATAATTAATTGTATGCATATTGGGGCCATATTTAGGGAAATGCTTCAATGAGATACAACCCCGATCTGCATCATCAGTGGCCACAAACTGCATGGTTGGTTGAGATGATGCCTAACTCCATCAAAAATCTTCCATTGCTCTTCAACTGCAGTAGTTATGGATCACTTCAACCTGCCTTGGTAGGCCTTGGATGGTGGAGTTCGGTATCCTTCGGTGTAGGACCAGGTCTCATTGGATCTTTCTCCCTTTATTGTTTAATCATGATAATATTTAAAGTGTTATTCATGCAAATGAAACAGAATTGACCAAGCTTAAAACAATGTTTTAAAATGCGGGATGCGGCCCTGATGCGGTGGGGGGCCGATGCGGCGATGCAGCTCGATGCGGCCCAGATGCGGGTGCATTGCGATGATGCGGTCAATGAATGTAAAAAAATTCTAAAAATTCTAAAAAATCTAAAAAAATAATTTAATGCATAGAAAAAAATATGAAGGTGATATATGTGATAGTAGGTATTTTAGTTTAATGATTAACTTCAAAACTATTAGCTGTCGGAGATTCTATATCCAGTTATCCACTATCCCCTGATAGAAACTAGAAACTTGAAACGAGTTTCATAAAACATTCAACAATCAACAACTATAAGCACAAATTTGCACCATAAGTACAATCATAAGCACAACCATAAGTACAACCATAAGAACAAAATAGTGATATTACAAAATACAAATCAAAAGTCAAGCTAAAGAAGAGTTAATAGTTAATAACTTAATACAATCATCCATTTTGAGAGTCAATTTGAACTTTATTTTTTCAAATATCAATCAGAGAAGTCATCTTGAGAGTTATCATGCGCATCATCAATATTATCCTCGACGGCCTTCATGTATTCTTCTTTATCGGTCTCTTTTGAGTCAGCTTCCTCCTCGACCTCTAAAGCTAATATGCGAGTGCGATTAGACCCAGTAGCTCCTCTACTCCTTTGTGCTTTAGTGTTAGGTCGATCTTTTTCATTAACCCCTGTTGCTAGCTCGACATCAAGCCATGTAAGATCCTCACCCTCAAATACACGTTTTTGTCTTGGATCCACAGTCCACTCACTTATGGAATCACCATTAGCTTCATATAATTGAATATGGTCGAGCTTCGTGCGATTTTCATACCTCTCCCTAAGCCGCTCGTTATATCATACATAAACCAAATCATTCAACTTTTTATGCTCTAATCTATTTCTTTTTTTTGTATGGAGTTGTGGTAGAAATTTGAAATCTGGTAAATTAGATTTTAGATTAGAAAATTGAAATTCAAGAAATAAGGATTAAGGAATAAGGAGTAAAGGACTTACATGTTCAAATGCACTCCAATTGCGCTCACAACCAGATGAGCTATATGTGAGATTCAATACTCGAATAGCGAGACGTTGTAGATTTGGTATCTTGCTTCCATATAATGCCCACCATGCAGCTGTATAATATTTATAATTTAGAATATAATTAAAAATTAAGGGTATAAAATAAACAATGGAACTATACATAAAATAAGAGATAAGTAAGATTAGTTTTGGGCTTTTGGCCTTTACTTGGATCTGTAGTAAGGTTATTTTTAGGCTTTTGGCTTTTACTTGGATCTGTAGTGTCCCTATTTCGAGTGGCAATATCTCTCTCAAAATTTCTCAAGGCTAAGTCGAACTTAATCAATTCATGGCTTTGGATCTCATCCTGGATATCTTTGTCTGGCACTCAATGGATGGGTGCTTGTAGTGAAGAGATGGGTTTAGAAAATAAGCAGCCGAATGGAGGTGCCTGTGAAGTTGGGTATCTCATCTCTTATCAATAATTTCAAACATAGCTTTATGCATATTTTCATCATCCTTTAAAACATCTTGTATTTCAGTTCTTGCCCTAGTCATTGCCTCATTTATATAGCCCATGGCGGGCTTCGCATCACCATCAACCATTTGCAGCACTCTCACTAAAGGGCGAGCCACCTCCAATGCAATAATTATTTGACTCCAAAAAGATGTATTCAAAATAATTTTTTCAACCTTTCTCCCATCCTTATACTTTGATTGTTTGCTTTGACTCAATTGCTCTAAAGCAAACATGGTCCTCAATGCACTTTTTTGCTTGGCTAGGCTTTGAAAAGTGAGAAATGACATGGCAAATCTAGTGATACTCGGTCTCACTAATTCTCTCTTCTTTGTAAAAGACATCATCATGCTTAGGACTATGGTGTGATTGTAAATAAATCTAACAACAAACATAGCTCTTTAAATCACCCCACTAAATAAAGATGTTGTACCCATTTCCTTAAGCATAAGATTAACACAGTGAGCTGCACAAGGTGTCCAAAACATATGCTTCTTTTTCAAAGTCAAGAAATGCCCAGTTGCAGCATAGTTGGCGCCATTGTCATTGATAATTTGTACCACATTTTGCTCCCCAACAAAATCGACAATCTCATCCATCAAGCCAGATAAGTATATACCATCATGTGACTTGTCTGATGCATCAATAGACTTAACAAAAAAAGTACCTGTTGGGCAGTTAACCAACAAATTAATGAATGCCCTTGATTTCCTATCGGACCAACCATCACACATAATAGTGGCCCCATATTTCTTCCACCCTTCTCTTTGAAAAATCAAAATCTTATTCACATCAAATACATCATCCTTCAACAAGGGCTCTCTAACCTTATGTAGTGAAGGAGGAATAAGTCATGCGTCATATTGCCCAATTGCCTGGACCATACATGCAAAACTATCCAGAGTTATAGTATTAAAAGGAATGTCGGCCATGTAAATCCACTTTGCAATTCACTTACATACCGATTTCATTTGTTCTTTCTTATATTTATTGTCAATTGTGGTTTGTTTTGTTTTTTTCTCTCTCCTGAACCACAATTTCAGGGCTAAGGGTGAAAAAAGAATCCATTGGCCCCTTAAAGAGATCTGTTCTTCTTTCAACACTACCACCAATATTTATAACCCTCTTTTTTGAGGTTGGAGTTTGAGTACCTTTTTGCCTCATAGCAACTTCAGACATATCATCATCATCATCATCTGCAGCATCATCAACATCATTAAATAATTGCATATCATCAAATAATTCATTTCTTTCTTTCTTTCTTTTTTTTCTCTTTATCTTTTTTCAATCTATCAAAATATTCTCTAATCTCTTTTTTTATATCATCTGTAGCTTGTGGGCATGTTCTTACATTCTCATAAATTTCGGCTAAATGCTCTTTTTGTCAAAAAATACCACCCATATAAGTATTTCCACAGAGCAAGCATATCACACAATTTCTATCTTTCGGATTTTTTAGTTTAGCATATTTTCAAGCTGGATCCTTATTACTAGAAGATTAGGAATAAGACATTGCCCCAAAAATAAGTATAACAATATTATTGTACAAGAAGGAATAAAAAGTTACCGACTCTGTGAAGTAGTGTTCGATTTCTTCACGGTCTCTGAATTCCCTAATTTCTTATCACAAATTTACCTTAACATCCCCAAATCAACAATAAAAGGCATCAAATGAACATCCAAGTATCAAACAACCGTCACATCAAAGATTTGGATGAAAAAAAACATTTCACCAAATTTTTTTTTTTTTCGATTTGATGCAAAAAAAGCTATATAAGTGGCTGGAAATCTTCGATTAGGGGGTATAGTAACCTCCCAAACAATTTCCCTAAACATTGGAACAAAAAAAAGATCATTTTGCCCCTCCATGAGGGGCAAAATCGAAAACAAATTTCGTGGAAACAGATGTGAACGAGATGCGGCTTGATGCGGTGCATATGTGGTCGCATCTGTCAAAAGCGCATATGCTCCTGAACGGGATGCGGATGCGAGCGCATCCCGCATGATGCGGACGCATCTGTCAAAAGCGCATATGCGCCTGAACGGGATGTGGATGCAAGCGCATCTCGCATATGCGGTGATGCGGCCGCATTTTAAAACACTGGCTTAAAATATGAAGTTTGGGAATAGATTGGTTTGAGTTGACCTAGAGAATTATAATTTATATAAGGTTGCAACCTTAAAATGTTGAATTACAGATGCACCTCAAATATCCATCGTAGAATGTTGTTAAAATGTTGAAAAACTCTCTAATTAATCTTCTCGACATCGGTATGAATATTAAAAAAAAAAAAAAAGATTCTACTGTCCCAGAAATAGTGCATTTTGCAACACATTATGTCGAGATGTATGAATATTAAAATAAAAAAAAATAAAAGATTCTAGAGTCCCATAAACAATGCATTTTGCAACACATTATCTAGACCGTCCATTTTGAAGATTTTTATATATTTATAGATCTACTTGATTTTTACCATTTTTGGATTTTTAAATTTTATAACTAGATATGAAATAGATTTTTAGATAATTTTAAAAATGTTTTACACCAAAAATACATGTTAGAATAAAATTTGGAGGTGTGCCTTAATTGGAT